CCATGCCACGTCGTGTAGCAGCACTTATTGCGGCGCGTGGTGGCTACACAAAATACTGATTCTGATCTCTTGTTCTTGTTTGTTTGCTTTGAACATTTAATCATTTATTTGTACCACTACCACTCAACTGTGTATTAAATTGCATTCAATTATGACGATTCCTTCTTGGTGTTGCAATTTTCACAAACGTGAGTGTATATTTAGATAACATTTATAATCATTATAAATTAGATACATTTAATCATTAGATTTCTTCACAGTACTTTCACAGTTGTTTATAAGTGAATAAATTCTTCATTTCAAATACATTTATAAATAATTTAATGAATATTTAAGTATTTTGTCAAAGGCAGATACATGCTTTTTGCAAGCACATGCATAAATACCCATACATATTTCCTATTTATCATTTCCGGCATGTGCAAATCTTTAATTGCTGTGCATTCACTATATTTTTCGTGTAAAGTAATTTACACTAATTTAGCATAGACCGAAAGTTTTACATAAAAAATATATATGAATATAATTTGAGTGAAAATTATAAGTATTATTTTTAATACCCCACTCAAAGGTCAGTTTTTTCTTCAAAATTCCTACACAATGGCATCTCTCTCTTTAGGCAGATAGCCCTTGCATGCGTTACTCTATTTAATAAAAACTTAATCTGACCTATGTGAACTAATTACAAATATTTTAACATACATAATTTTATATTTACATTTAGCCATCAAGTTTCAAACTTTTCAAATCTTCTAGAAAATAAATTTTGGCAAATCTCTTTTAGCAATTTTCTTAAAATCTATATTTTTGTAGTGCAACAGCTTAGAATTTTATAAAACAAATTCATAATCAAAATCGCTGTTGTTAGTTATCGAAAAATAACCAAGATGTGATTTTTGCGTAAATGTCATTAAACTATACAAATTGTTATTATCCATTACACAATGAATGTTTCTTCATGCGAAAAAAAGTGTCCCTTTTTCGATTTTCTATGGAACTGTCGTGTGTCGAAATACTATCAGAATCTTGTCAAGCGAGCTTCTGAATGTAAACAAACAACACCCCGTCTGGTGACCCAAGCTTCAAAGCAGTGCTTCACTTCTAGCGCGGAATGGCCCCTCCTCCCTTTCTTACCTCCATGTCTAGAGGAGCATTTTGATTTTGGATGAAAATGGATTTTCACTGCAAATGAACATGAAAAAAATTTAATTAAAATCTAAATGCAAAATAAAATATTTGACTTATCTTCATGAAATATTGTAAAAAAACTTACTTAAAAATCTTCATCTAAACATGTAAAAATAATAAAATATATGATCAAATATTATAGCATGAATGATTCAGAAAGGAGACAGTGTGCAATAATCTAGTTATTATCATTTCATTAGTTCTGAAACACATATTCAGGTCGAATTTTTTAATTATTCCCTCCCAACAGAATAATTGATCCTAGGAATTCCCTCATTTTAGGCACATCTAGAGGAGTATTATGATTTTTGATGAAGATGGATTTTCACTGCAAATGAACATAATTATTCCATCCCAGCAGAATAGTTAATCCTAGGAATCACCTCATTTTAGGCACATTTAGAGGAGTATGATTTTGGATGAAGATGGATTTTCACTGCAAGTGAACATAATTATCCCATCCCAGCAAAATAATTAATTCTAGGAATCTCTCATTTTAGGCACATCTAAAGGAGTATTTTGATTTTGGATGAAGATGGATTTTCACTGCAAATGAGCAGATGGATATTTGTATTAGAAATTATTAGTTTCTTGAACTATTTTATTCATTAGAAATTTAAAAAAAAAAGGTAAAAAAATCAATTTCATTTTCATAACTTTGAATTAAGTTTACTTCTGCAATTCCCATGAATTCATAAGGCTTTAATTACTCAACAGATCGAGTTCATGACGAAGTAGCCACTGTTTTGATGGATTGTGAGGTGAAAGCAAAACAAACATCCAGTTCATCCTATGAGAAAATTTCATTATCAAAATCGCTATTCTCACTTTAATCTAGAGTTTTCCAGTGTCAACATAATCAACTCATGGGCTCGAATGAGCGCTCCTGGGCTTTACAATTTGAATATACTCTTCTTCCGTTGAACATTTCTTTAGCACTGTTAATTTAACTTTATTACCCAGTGCAAAAAATTTATGTCTACTCTGTAAAGAAGATGCAACCTGAATACAAATCAGAGTTCCTAAAACACAGTTCCACTCCCAATCTTTCCATAGGAAAAAACAAAAAGCAAATCTGATGCATTGGAAACTGTTCAATGCTTATATCACATGAAGGCAATTGCTTGTCAGCTGGGTTTTGTTTACTTTGTACCATCTGCTCATGCATTTAAACGAGTCACTGGAATCAGAAAGTACTTTACAGATATGTTCAAATAAGCTAATTGTAGTGGACACAGAGTTGCCATGTAGTGATTTACAAAAATTCTAAAAGAACGTGTATGTTTGACAATGCCGTCTGAAGATCAATGCAAGTGGCAATGCACCAGTGCATCACCCTTTTGCTAGAGACATTTTGGGCTGATGCATATATGACACCCCCCATCTGCAGAGGGTTTTTAGTTCAGCAACATGCTGTTGTGAAGGGGTTAATCCAATTGGAAGAGCTATCACACTGTAACATGATTACATAAATATGAAACGGATTCATTTTCAGATGATGTGCTTTCGATTCCATGTAGGGGACAGAGCCAAATTAAAATCAGGAATTTTTGAGCTTCAGAATTTTTATGACATATATAAGAAAACATAAATATATTATTTAGTCAAATAAACTGTATTTCTATTTAATTTGGATGGTGGTGATATGCATATAGTGTAAACTGGATGAAGCCTTTCAGTTAGGACTGCATTGATTAATGAGTTCCTCTTGTACTAAATGTGTACCAAATATGAGGAAAAAGATATTTTATTTGAGATGATGATATGCTCACAGTGTTTTTTCATTTCTATTGTGAGCATTTAATGCTCCGAAATGCCTGTCCAATCTTACAGAGCTATAGGTTTGATTTGTTTGGAGTTAGTGCTGAGTATTAATTGGTGGTAGGAACATTCTGGAGCATTCCTGTATCATGGTTGGTCCACAAAACATCCCTTTTTTAATTTCATCAAAAATTTGTCTGTGTGTTATTTTTGTTTTGTTAAATTTATTTATTAACAAGTGAAATGCTGGCAGAGATGTCTGCGTAGTCTTACTGAATTTCAGGATGGTTTTCCTTAAAAAGTCAGTGAAAATTCATAACCCTTCTAAGTATTTATGGTAGTAGCATTCATGGTACAGTGAACCAAGAAGACCACCAATGGTTTCAGATGATTTTGATTTGTTGATTAGGTTGATTGGTTAAGTAACTTAAAAGGAATGGTCCTCCATAAAGGCATCGCTTATGGAAAAGGATGTCTTCATGAAGGACGTTTTAACGGAAACTGGTTCATATGCATGTTACACAGGGAGAAAACCACGAAAAGTTCCATGCAAGAGGCCCATTCGATGGGATTCAAAACCAGGTCTATCCAAACTACCAGTGTCTTTACCACTCGACTGATTTTCTGTGGAGGTGATTGCCTTGGAGAATTTGATTATCAGTAATGGCAATTACCAATTTCCATAAATTTACCCTATTGAAGTTTCTTAAGGAAGCATTTCTTGAGGTCCATTAAAAATGCCGAAGTGTAGGATATCTAATTATTAATAACATCACATTAAAATTAAGATTAATCACAAAAATTAAAGTAGCAAAAAGTTATTATTTAAATTGGATTTAGTTTATACTTAGTTTTCTCAAGTACTGTTAGTGAATAATATTTAAAAAAAAAAAAATTAGGAAAGCATTTTTATATGTGAAGGAAAATAAGATTTATAGAAGTTTGATATTATAAATTTTTTTAGTAATTTCAGAAACACTGAGTATTCACGTCATGAAATTTATTTCCTAGAGTGCTTTGCTTCCTTTTAAAATTTTTTGGATGTTTGTTGATACTTTTCTGTCAACTTTCTTTGCCAGCAATGTTTTGAGTAACTTTTAATTTTGTTTGTAAGTTTTATTCTTTTATTTTTTAAGTGCTTAAAGTAGCATACTTAAGATTATGAAATTTACTGCATGCATGCATCACTTGAGCTACAACTTCAAAATAAAGGTGACTGATTGCAGTAATTGCAAAAACATAAATGAATGCAAGTGCACAGAGAAGAAATGGAAAAATTAGCATAAACACTTAAGAAACGTAATGATTCTTTCAAGTAAATTATATTAATATAAAGTTTGTATTTCAGAAATGTTTAAAACATTTTCTTCCAATATAACATAGATTTGGAGATGCATTTCTTAATCTCTGTAGTACTTATAAATATTTTGTGTTGTTGCTGAAGTTGAGATGTTTTGATGGAATTGAAGTATTAAAATTATGATGCAGTTATCAATATTTATGTATTACATATGTTCACAGAAATATTGGTCACTTTTACAAGTCGTCTTTTATAGAAGATACTTACCACAATATGTTTATTGCAATAAATGCAACTGCATTTTAATCTCATGGAGATACTGCATAGTATTAAGTAGAAATTGGCAAGGCTGTGTTGTTTACTATCCAGTAAGTTATGTGTGTTAGAAATGTGTATTGTTTCTCAGAAAATGTGTATATGACACTTATTCTTGAATATAGAAGAGAATTAAGTACTCTAATGCATTATTGTAGAACTTGGTGTCTTTTAGTGTAGATAATGGTACAGTGTGGGGTTTGACCATCTACATTTCCCGTTTTTCTGTTTCAGGTTGTTATGCTATCGCTTATAAATATAAATAATAATGTTTCCCTGTCTTTCTTATTCACTAGTTTCAACTTTCTGTAATAAGTTTAATTTAATTTCAAGTAAATTAGATAGTTATTTTTTTTTTAAATAGCTTAACAAAATGCTGAAATTTGTAGTTACTTTAACAAGTTACATTTTTTTTCTGTTTTTTTTTTTTTTTCAGTATATAAATGCTTCTTTTGTGACTTTCTCAGAAAAAGTAAGTAAATCCAACTCATTATTTATTATAATTGTTTTTTAAAATTTTGATGTTTATGTAATACATCTATTTTTTTAGACATTTATTGACTGCATTTTGGGTTTTCCTAAACTTTACTTTATCATAATATATTAACAGCTTGATATCCCACCTGAATGTGAGAATAGTGTAAATATTTTTACCACTAACCCTACTGTGAATGGAAACATGGATAACGCATCTCATGCACTTTCTCAGGAACATCATTTTGTCAAGGTTTGTTTGTTGTAATTTATTTTAATGATGCATATAATTAACACAGTTTATCTTCTTGTAATTAGACATAATTGTCGTGTATTATGGTATTTGGATTTAATAAGTAGATAGATAGATATTGAATTTTAAATCTTATTTATACATTCAACAAAATTTAATTTTTTTCTGAAAGAATACAGACGTTTATAATGATTAGCATAATTTGCATACAGTATGTGAATGTATGCATTTTGTGATGATATTTTTACATATCTAATTTGAAAATATTAGCAATAGTAAAAATTAGTGCATTGTTGAAAGCTTAGTCACAAATGATTATGCATGAATTTTTGTTTTATTGTGTTACCAAGAAAGAAACTGAGCATTAATATAAAGTTGATATTCGAATATTGAGTATTCTTTGAGGTAGACAGAACTTTACAGAATGTTGAGTATATCATGAAAAGCTGATACAGAAATATTTGAGCTCCATCTTTGGAATTCCTGTAAATTTCTTGTGTGGTTGGTTGAGGATTTTTATGCAAATATGAAAGTTTAATGGTTTCATATGATTTAGAAATTATAACAATGATAAACTACCAGTTTTGTTGAGTCTATTGTTAAGTTATTACTGGGTCCTTATTGTTGATAAATAATATGCAACTAATTCAGACTGATAGTTAAACATAAAATAATTTCAAGATCCTAAAGCACAGAATGTTCCTTATTGTAAAATAACATATATATATACATTCAAGTTACTTTAAAACACAATTTTCGGAATTAAACTTAAATTATTAAATTAACTTCGGACTACATATGGGTTCCCTCTTTTTTGATACTTCTACTAAATTTATTTTAGGAGATAATCAAATTTTTTTTAATAAATAAATTTTTATTATCTTACTTTGCAGTTATTGCGCAAGTATTAGAAAAACTTGTTTTTGAACTAAGTGAATTTAAAATCATTCAACATTTCATATATATATATATATGTTTGATGAAGGCTACTCATTAATTTCGTGGTGATATTTTCATTATGTACAAATATATGATCGTTGTGTTTTCTTGAAAGCAATGAAAAAGTGTTAATTTATTAAGAATCTCAGAATTGCATTGTTGCAAAATTTCAAATTTATTTTGAACAGCGTTAAAAGTTTCAAAGTCTTTGATCACTGCTTGAGCTTAAAATATATATAGCTCCTGAGTATTGAAAACTTCACAAAATTACATAAATACAAAACCGTTGACTTCTGCTTTTATATAAAATTCTATCACATGAAAATATCTATAACGCTGTAAAAATTTACTTAATGATAAACATTAAACTATTCATTGATGGAAATGCATTGCTTAAATTAATGACATACACAAATTACAAAATGCCATTTTCTTCCTAAATCTTTATTTCCAAGTCTTTGCATGCTTGCAGTTTACCCATCAAGCTACCCGTTATTTTATTTGTGTGATCAGTTGAGAGGTCTTCATCATTATAGGTAGACTTATTCAATGAGCATGAAAGTTAGCTGATAGAAAAATTTCACAGGATCTTCAGGTGGATTTGATAGGTAATCTGGAATCATGTAAACAGTTTTAGCACTGAACCATCATTGTTAATATTTGTGTTAATGTTACACTAGAACTACCTGAATTGATGAATAACATAATTCTGTATTTAGTATTCTCTGAAATCCTGTTTTAGCAATGATTATCACTTATTAGGTGTGAAGGGTTGAGATAGCATTTGAGCTGGGTACTTACGGATTAGTTTACAGCAAATTTCATGGTGATGAAATACGGCAGTTGCTACCTAAATATGGTACTCTTAATTAACTGTGAATTTTATATCTGGTGCTTTATCACACATCTGTACTATTTCATTTTACATCCTGCCTGTAGGCAAGCACTCTAACACAAAACCATTACGAAATCATTTTGTGTCTGGCTAATAGCAAGTACCCTAAAATATAAGACAAAGAATGCCATGTTTGGTTAGCAATTGCTATTATTTCATCACTATGAAATTCATTGCCCATTGATTAATAAGTACCTTGAACTGATACTTTTTCAATATTGAATTTCAGAACATACAGTCAGGATTCGTGGTGGCATCAGCATTAACTGCTGATCACTTTAAATATTTGTAACAGGTAAAAGGATGGCATGTTATTATATTAATGGAATGTTGCAGCTTGTCCCACTGGAAAAGCGCCTCAGAAATTGCCATACCATTGTGTAGCGAATTCACTGAATGCAATCAAATTTAGATGGAAGACAACCATTACATAAGAAAGTTGAAATGACAACAACTTCATAAATATTGAGAAAGTATGTTAACAAGCAAGTTCCAAGAGTCAGTTTTGCTGTTTATGTTGCAGTGAAGATGAAGCAGTCTCTGGATTTGGCACCTGACTTTTCCCATAGGGTAACCATTAAAGGAAGGTTTACTTGAATGAACCATGCATCCATAGTGAGTTCCAGCAAAGCATTCACAGTGATACCTGAAGTTTCAACCCAAAATTCTGGCAGCTACATTCATGAACTTGTAACACTAGGCCAAACTCTGTTTAAATGTTTTTTTAGGGGTGGAGGTCATTTCTAGCACCTCCTGTGATTTACTTTCATTCTCTAATGTCAGATATGTTGTGCTCAACTGTAATTTCTTCTCCATTTCCTTTTTCTTTACTTGATTTCTAGGGCTGCTATCGATTGGGAAGCCTGTGTAATCTAGGTATATAAAGCGTAGGCTCATGAAGCTTAATTTTTGGCATTCCCAATAAAATATTGAAGTAGTTCTTTGGTCCGGAGAAGTCCTAAATCTGTTATTGTAAAACACAATTTGTCTTCATATGAATGCTCTCCATTGCACTCGTAATGAAATTTTCGGTCATTATTGCAATGATCAGCTGTGTTCAAGGAAGAAGATAACTCAGTGAATCAGTGCTATGACTTGTCAGTCGTTGCATAACCTAAAGCATGGTTCTGCTTCTTATTACCATATGAATTCAGTCATTGAGCACCTGAAAATTATTTTTCCAGACTGTACTTGGAAGTTTCTATGATTCATGTCATAAAATGCCTTTGTTTGAATATATCTCATATGTTTTAGAGGGCTGTGCAATGCTAAAAAATATTTTTATCCTTCACTTTAGAATGAAAATTTTGCAGATGTTGCTTCATCTTTGTTAGTTTCATAGAATAATTTGCCAATATAGATAACACACTGTCATATTCCTTTGCGATGAATGACAATGGATGTGAATCCGTACTCAGTATACATCGTTAATGCATTCCAGATCCATGGATATATATTAAATGAACTTTTTAATAAAAAATAAAATGAAAATAAATAACCTGTTTTTATAAAGAATCTTATTGTGATTATTATTGTATCATACTAAAATAAAAATGCAGTGGATGAAATATATACTGTACATAAATGAAAATTTACCAAATTAATTTTTCTCTTTTTCATTGTGTCCCTTCTTGGACCAGGTTGAGGACCACCAGGTCTGATCTTTGTCTGGTAATAATTTTCATCCCTTTCACCATGTTAGCGGAATAGTGTTTTTTTTTGTCACAGTTGTAGATACCATTGTTCTTGGCATATGGTGTGTGATAGCCAAGTCTCAGACACAAGCCTTCTTCATGCATTTCAGCAATCTCTTTTTTTAAAATCAGCTATGATCCTGGTCTTTTTCTTCAATACTTGACTGTTATTGTTAACTTTCTTTAAACTTACTATTAATTTATTACAAAAAAATTATGTGGAAAAAAAAAATCACTTAAAAATTCAGATTTATAGCATGAGCTGTTTGCTGAATATTAGCAATATGGGAATAGTAGTGGTGCTCATGGGCAGTTGTAGCGTTACAGATTTTGTATATATGTAAATAATTTTAGTGAAATTATATGTGAAATTGTAGTATTTTTTGCATAATGGAATATGAAGTGGTTGAAAGAGACGATGCTGTACCAGAAAAATAAGAATACAGGGGCAAATGTATTTAACATCGAGTAAATGGCTGTCTCGCTAAATTGGCAATGGTTTTGGCGAGTGGAAACATTTTGGTTCAGTCCCACTATAACTATAACTGGTATTGTGATTGAATAAGTATAATTGATTCAGAGTTCATACGGTCCTTAAGAGTCCTTAGGTGTTTTGGAATCAATTTTGAGTCCCTAAAAGTCCTTAATTTTAATCATCTGAAATTTCTGTCTGTGTTTATGACTGCCATTTTGAGTGTGAATGAGCATTTGGAGGAATATGTTTGGCGATTTTCTGGCAAACGTGGTTATCTTTTGAATGGATTCATGGGTTATAATTTGTTCTATTTCTAATATAAATGGTGGCATACTCTAGTTTCTGAGCAAGAAGTGAAACATAAGCTATGAATTCTTTTATTAAATGGTTCTAAATTTGGATACTTATCAACATTTTGGCGATTTTAAGATTACTTTCTATAGAAAATTTTAATTCCAAGGTCTGTGAATTTTTCAACATTTTTTTTTAGAAACGTTGATAAATTTGATTAAAATATTGGTAATATATTGAAATTATATTTAGAAAATAACATTGAAATAAAAAATTTTTGTCTTTCGCTGTCATATTATAAAATTCCATTTTGGCCACTTACTATACAATATTTTAAACCTGAAAAATAAACGACGTATAATGCTATAAAGCACAGTTAAAGAAATAGTTCTTAGCAAAAGCAAAATAGCTATGTAATTAATTAAATATGTCTTCTTTTGAATTTTTTTCATGTTAAGAGTTTTTCCTGTGTAATTGTCTCAACATATGCAGAATTCTCAGAATATGCATGAGTTTTCAGTATAAAATTAATTTTACACTTTTCCCTCTGATTTTTTTTCCCCAAAATATTTCTGGTATTTTGCTGTTACAGAATTCGTAGGGTTTTAGACATTGCCGCATTCTTTAGATCTTGCCTTCAAAACTGAAAGGCAAGATATATAGACCCTTGGTTCTAGAAGATTTCAGAAAAATGTGAATATTTGAA